ATAACCAAACTGCCCATTGAATTATGGACAGTAGTTCTGACTTGAAGTGCTTTCCTGAACATTTATATTGGAGTATATGATTATCCGTTTCCCCCTGTAGATAGTTTGTCTGTTATTCTGTCATCATGATTAGGTTAGGACACCTGAGCACTAACCTCTGTTTTCAGAATATTTCTGCTTTTTAGTGATAATTGAGCATACTGTTGTTTGTTTTTAAATCTATTGAGATACACTTCATGTTGTTAATGTAAATCTTTTTTATAGCCTTAGCTGAATACAGTAGCTCTTTGTCTTGACATCTGAGATAAGCTGGTTCATGTCTCTTAATGGCACTTAGATTTGAATTTTGTAGGCTGGGAGGCAGAACTACTTGGAACTGGTCTGTTTAATGCATGGTGACTTTAAATTCAGGCTTACAAATGGGCCCACTTATAAAAAGAAGGCCTTAATCTCTGTAGAGTTCTCTCTAGAGCAACACTATGAAGTTAAAAACTTTTGGACTCTTTTTTTTTTAAACCATCCATTGGTCTTGGTAATTTGAAGTGAAGGAAACTAATATGAACTTCACATTTTCATTTCAATTTGAATTCCAAGATTCTTTGATTCTCTAGAGTCAAAGTGTTTCAAGGGTTTTCTTGAGGAAGTTATGACTGGAGGGGAAGAGCGCTGCCTCTCGGTCTTGAGTGACAGCCCCTGCCCTCTGCCCCTAGCTGAGAACTCAAAGCATTGTTGAATAGCACTGAAACGAGCTGAGTCCAAAACTTTTAGCCAGATGGTCGATATAGGGCTTTTAAAGGAAGGGAAATAGTAAAAGAGTAATCTCAGAGGAACTCTCTTATGTTAAAGAACTGAGAAAATGAAGTCTTTCTGAAGCGAAGTGTAAATTATACCACCTTCTTTGAGAGCAAAAGCTGCTAAATGTAACAGAAGAAAATGACAGTGCAGAAAATCAAAGTTCAGGAACAAACTTTCAAGTGTGGTTTTTGAATGCTTAATCCTCTCTTACTCCTCTCTCAGGATCCATTGCCTCCTTTTCCTCCCCCTCCTCAAGTCTGTTTGAAAGGGATTTGGATGGGTAATGGCAAAGGAAGGCAGCTTTAGACAGAGTATAAACTAGGGCACAAGATACCTTTGTAGAGGAATTATCTTAGACATGCTTTTGAAAACATACTCTTTTTTAGTCTTATTAAGAAAATAATCAAAGGTACGATTTGTAAAACTTTGAGTTTAGTCTGCTTTCAGTAAAAATAAGGTATAGATACCAAAATAAGCAAACCTTTTTTTTTTTTTTTCTTTCCTCGTTTCTGCTTATAAGATTTACAGGTATTTAAAATAAACCCATGAAAACAGAAATACTGTCATGGGATTGGCTAAGTAGTCAGAGCAATTACCTCTAGGCTCCAAAGTCCAACTGAGCTTGACTTTTGGAAGTAAATTTGGCTAAGACTTCTTCCTCATTCTGTTCTATAAAGGTGTACATGAAATGATACTGACCTTTGCCAGAAACCCCAGGAATCCTATTCAGTGATGTACTTGTAATGGTCATGAAAGAATTAAAACAACACAGATGTGGATTAATGGGAGAAAGTAGGCAAAAATGCTAAATTCTCATTGTGTGGTTTCAATGTGGCAGATCCTTTTAAATACTTCAGTGTACCACAATAATTAAAGGGTTTAAGAACATTAAAATACCTAGAAAATAAAAGCCAGCAGTTGAGTAACAAGAATGAACTGTTTTATTTTTTTAAATTGGAATTAATGTAGGTTGCCGTGGTGAAAATAGATTGAAATATTTAACAGTAACTGTTTTGTGCAGCCCTAGAGATCAAAAACAGTAATGTAAATAAGTAGGTCTTTAAAGAATATACTCACAGGCATGCTTAATGTAAATGATTGCTAGAAGAGAAATGCATTTTTTTCAGTGCTACACAAAGAAATTTTAATTTACTTGACTTTGGCAGCAAGAATCTACAACTTAGCATTAATAACTAAAATTTTAAAATATTTGCTCATTGCTCTGGATTATGACTGTTTAAGAATTACTATTTTCAAACACTAATCATTTTAAATAAACTTTTTTTATACATTTATGACATCAATGAGTATGACTGTTTATTACATTTTACCTATAAAAAGTTGAACTGTTTTATATACTCTTTATGGAAACAGTGCACAGTCATAAATTAAAAGATGCAACTGTTTTGGATATTTTACTGGTGGTCCTGTGTTTTCCTGCCAGCAGTGCAGCTGTTTCAGGTTTCTCAGGATAACATATAAAAAGCTGTATGTACACTGCAAGTTTATGCTTGAATTGCCAAGCCAGAGATGGTATGATTCAACTTTCCCAGAAGCAAGTTGTACCAAAATGTGATGAATCAAAACAACCAGTTGCACAGTGGTTTGTATTACAGCTATGAAAAACAATTCTGTTTATGATAGTTGGCTTCTTAAGGTTGACAGACATTCTCCTGTGGTACCCGATTTTTACCATGAGTGAACAGCCATTGGAGCTAAGGCTGTGCTTTTGAGGGTCTGAAGAAAGGAAAAAGGGTAATATGGCGGTATCTGCTGTATGGATAAAATTTACCTGGAAACTCATACTAGGAATGGAATGTTTCATTTCTAAGATACCTGTAAAAATATTACTAAATATTACTTATTTGTGTGATAGTTATTGAGTTCTCAGTGAAGAGAAATTGATTTTATCCTGTTCCAGGTTGATTTTTAGACTTCTGAGATGACTTATTTAACACATCATTTCTCATGCATCATAATCTTAACAGTGGACATATTATTGTGTCCTGGGATGTAATAAGCAGATACTTTCTTTGTGGTAGATTTGGTGAATCCCTGTTTACGTCCAGTGGGACCTAAGGTTCTATCAAGAGTTTGACAATGAAATTGGGATGCATCCCACCAAGGTTTATAAGATGGGATCTAGAGAGAAAATACTAGAACTTTTGTTGAAATATTTTTATCTCCTTCTTTAAATATTTATAATATATTTTATAATATACTTCTTTATATTATATATAATTATATACTATATAACTGTTAATACAATAGGTATATGGTTTATAAATAAGTACACAAATTTTGGAGTAGCACGCTCAAATATTTTTACTGCTATAAGTATACTATCAAAAGTTTGTGGGGTGGGGGCGCCTGGGTGGCTCAGTGGGTTGAAGCCTCTGCCTTCAGCTCAGGTCATGATCCCAAGGTCCAGGGATGGAGCCCCGCATCGGGCTCTCTGCTCAGCAGGGAGCCTGCTTCCCTTCCTCTCTCTCTGCCTGCCTCTCTGCCTACTTGTGATCTCTGTCAAATAAATAAATTAATTAAAAAAAAAAAAGTTTGTGGGGAAGCCAGGGTGGCTTAGTAAGTTAAGCATCTGACTTGACCTCAGCTCAGGTCTTGACCTCAGGGTCGTGAGTTTGAGCCCTGCAGTAGGCTCCACACTGGGCATGCAGCCTACTTTAAAAAAGAAAAAAAAAAGTTTGTAGATCATTGCTCAGTAAATATTAATTTCCTTTCTCCTTCACTTTTCCCTTTCACCCTTGGCAGAAAAGCAAAGAATTGAGTTAACACCTTGATTTGTGGTGGTGTGAATAAATTATAGCCAATTCTGGGAGCTTATCCTGTGTCTTACTTTGACCACTTTTTCTATTTGGCCTCTTACATTGCCATATATTTTTTAATCACACAACCTTATTAAACATGGATACAAATGAAAAACAGACTTGTTATTATGTTAGAAATAAGAAGTTGCTCATGCATCAAGACTTTGACATACAGGAAGTTTGAATGAATGAGTAGAAAAGTTTCCAAGTTATTAAAATGTTCTGGTACCTGATTTATTCATTTGCCATAACCGTAATTCTAAGGCGGATGAAGCTCCTTTACTTCCTGAGGCCTGAAGAAACAATGTGGTTTCTTAAACTAGGCATTAAAGCAGAGCTGGAAATATTTGTTTTCCAACAGTGCTGTTAGTCATGCTAACAAGTTGACCTTCTTTGGCTAAGATTGTCCCATATTTTAGGCCTCTTTACCTTTATCAATGTAGAAAGTTTTAATTGCTAAATAATATATATATGATTGAAGAAAAATGGTACACTGTCTTTTGAGATCAGTTCAGAAGACTTTTGTATTTACTACTTGGGACATTCTGTTGAACTCAGGCTGTCAGAGATTTCTTGAGCATGTAATTTTCTAAGGTTTCACTTCCTGTGTGGAAGGAGACAATACATTTTTGTAATGCTGAAGTATATTTGAAGTAACTAGTATATTCTCTTCTCCCTCCTCCTCCATTGAAGTATTTATTTCATAATATTTTTATGTAAAGTATTCAATATTTATGTAAAAATATTAATACAATAGTATTATGATACCGGGTATTTATTTATTAAGAGTATGCCAGGAGGTGGAGCACCTAGGTGGTTTAAAGCTTCTGTCTTCGGCCCAGGTCATGATGCAGGTCATGATGCCAAGGTCCTGGGATCAAACCCTGCATTGGGCTTTCTGCTCAGCAGGGAGCCTGCTTCCTCCTTTCTCTCTCTGCCTGCCTCTCTGCCTGCCTCTTGTGATCTCTGTCTGTCAAATAAATAAATAAAATCTTTAAAAAAAAAAAAAAAGGAAAGAAAAAGAGTATGCAAGGAGGACAGTAGCAGTTAGGTACCCAAACAACAACCAACAAAACTAAGTTCTGAAAATTGGGAACAGTGAACATTTTAATAGCAAGTATTATTTTTGAAACCTCCTTAAGAGCTGTTTTTCGATCTTAATGTAATTTGCTTTATAATTTTGTTTAACAAACTGGTTTAGGCACTCTATATATATAGTCAGTGTGTTTCTTTTTAAAAGGTAATAATGCATTTAAGAAGTCTGAACATTTCAGTCTCAGAATTCTGCTTTAAAATGTGAATCAGTTTTATTATTATTTTTAAAAATGTTACCAATTTATATATGCTTTCTGTGTCACTGTTACACTTTTTGTTTTGTTTTAGGTATTTAAACCATGTCAGAGCTGCCTCTCCACAGGACCTTGCTGGAGGCTATACTTCTTCTCTTGCTTGTCACAGAGCACTACAGGATGCATTCAGCGGGCTTTTCTGGCAGCCCAGTTAACCTTTATTTCTCCTTTATAAGATTTGGACCTAGGAGCTGAACCAGGGAGCTAGCAAAAGAAAAGCAGACGTGTAAAAATATAGCCATGTGCAGCTGCCCAGCAGCAGTACTCCCACTAGCAGCTGTGTTAAAGTATTTATAAGAGAAAATTTCAGAACTAAGTTGAGCAATACGGTGGATAAATATATGTGAAAAAGATTTATTTTTTACTTATATTTTTCTGAGAGGGATTGAAGCTGTAAACTTTATCTGATGGAAGATATGAATAATTCACCTATGTATGCTTGAGGTTGACAGACTTGTAAAATCTTTTTAAAAATAAAGCTAGACTTTATATTAAGTTCTGTGGTTTTTCTCTTATTACAGTGTTTTACTACACATTTTAAAATGCCATTTTGAATACGACATTTAGTGTTAATATCCAAGTCTGTTATTTTCTCTCATAAAATGTTCTTTTTTTCCCCCTATATTCTCAATACTAGTCCAGACAAGTGGATATATTTCCTTCTGCCAGCAGGTTGTGGCAAGTAAAACTTGACCTATGATAATGCCACTCTCTTGATATTAAGGACTCAGTGCCTGTTTTGAGCATGGAAGGTGAGACAAACCTTGATCAAGGTATTATAGTTCCCAGCTGTGAGCCACACTTAGGATAAACCAGACTAGAGTACTAACCTGCTTTTAATGACAAATTCAAAGAAGTAAGCTAATAAAATTTAATACTTAAATGGCACCTTTCACTTCAAATATGAGCTCATTTTATGATGAAACCTTGGAGACTGGAATGGATACATTTTAAACAAAACTTCTCTGAGTAAATTGCACTCTGATTGAGTTTCTGTTAAAACTTCAAGGGCTTTTAGTAAACCCAGGATTTTGCTTAGAGTTGGCAATAGAGAGGATGGATATTTGTAGCATCTCCACCTTATATGAGGCTGTTACATAGACTACTGGGTATGGGACATAGTTTCTCAAGGAAATTAAGGGATTTCCCATCAAATGTCCCTTATGACAGATGTTAATTTTATGGGAGGAAAATTATGTGAAATAAAATTTGTGGTTACATTAGGGTGGAATATCCATATTTAACAACTGCAGCTTATTTGCCTAAGCAGGTATTAATTTCAGGGTATATCTTTATCTTTACAATATGGTTGACCCTTGAACAATGCAAGTTTAAACTGTATGGATTCACTTGTACGTGGATTTTTTTTGTATGGTACCAAAAATGTGTTTTCTCTTCCTTATTAACATTTTCTTTTTTCTAGCTTATTGTGTATATAGTGTATAACATACAAAACATGTATACTTGGCTATTAAATTTGTGTTAAGGCTTCTGGTGAACAGTAGGCTATTAGCACTTACATTTTGGGAGTGTGGGAGTCAGAAGTTATATGTCGATTTCTAGTGTGTGTGTGTTGGGGTGGAGGAAGTACAGCTCACCCTTGAACAGTCTTTGATAACTAAGAAAACTAAGGCATCAAATAATTGAGTAGGCTCAGATCATATACACGTTAGTAAAAAGCCAGAATTAAAACTGTTTGTTTTTTAAGTCTAGTTCTGTCTGTACTTTACAGGCTGCATCCTATTTTTCTTATCTATTAGCATTCCCCATCTGAGGATTAGGATTTTAAGTATAGTCTATACATTTATTCAAAGAAGTGAGAACATTGACTTAAAGTTAAGACTTTGCTGTACAGTATCCAGTCTTTACAAAAGAAATACTATTTGTTCTCAGTACCTTGTATAATGTATTTAAGTGAATGAACTAATTAATAGAACACTTTAAAGGCTTTTAAAACAGTTTTTGAGCCTACCTCATTATTGTGGAAATTGCCTGCATCTGATCTGGCAAATAAATTGAATTCCAAAACCTTTATATATTTGTAAATATTTTGCTCTTATTATTGCCGTACTTTGTTCAATAGGCCAAGTAAGTTGTTAATTGACCTATTACATGAAAGAGAATGGTGGAAGGTAACTTAATGACAGTACACTAAATAACAGAAATACTCTAAATTGATGAGGTTATTCCCTATCCCCCAGTGATTTTTCCTCAGAGTCAAAAGGCTGCACAAGTCTATCATATACATCAATTAAGTCTTTTAACATTGTACAACACTAGCCCAGAAGTAATTGCTAACAACTGCTGAGCATTATGTATGCGCCAAGCACTGTGCTTCATGTATTATGTATTCTTACTTAATCTTTACAATGCTAGTATTTTTTTCCCCGTTTTAACAAATGGAGAAGCTGAGGCATAGGGAGGTTAACTAACTTCCAGAAGGTTAATAGAACTTAAAAGTAGCAGAGTGGATTTGAACCAAAGTGGTGGGAGTCCATGCTTCAGAGATGAGTATCAAACTGGCAAGCTTATAAACAACAGCTCTGTAGAACCAAGTCTGAGTAATCAAACTTCCTAAGATTTCCAGGAAGTTTTACAGATCAAGTGTCTAGTTATTTTATGGCATATAAATGACAACAACTTAATAACCTTATTTATATCCTTGAGAGAAGTTCTGAGAAATTCATTATGTAGAACCTCATTTGTCCACTAACTACCTTCCTTTTAAACAGATATTAATGGTATTGAATACATTTACATCATAGTTGGGATGCACTATTAGTGTTCCTTAATTTCATTCAATAAATATTTGACCTAAGCTTCTCTTAGAAATTATCCTTAGACTGTTAACTGGTGGTAATTATTTCAAAATCCAATTAAGGTGGCAGGAAACTTGTCAAAAAGCTAAAAACATTTAAAAAATTGTATCCGGTGAGCTCTCCAGCTGTCATTTTTTAGTGGACATCAAGAGTTCACTTACCAGGTATCATGTTAAAAACTTTAGGGTGGGCCTAGATTTAAATAATGAAATAATCATACATTCACTTAGCCACTCTGAAGGAAAACGGGGAGGAGTTAAAATGTTAATAGAGAGACTGGTTGTTTGACTAAATAGAGGCAAGAATCTTATCACTTTCCATGTATGAATAAAAACATCATTTGTATCCATATTTAATATTTATAACCTAGCATATCACTGTATAATACTAGGAAAAAATTCTTACTCCTACCTGAAAATTAAAATTCTCTTCACCTAGATCAGGCCAACTGTGGACCCTTGACCAAATCCAGCTGCTGTCTTTTTTTGTATGCTTCATGAGCTAAGATTGATGTCTACATTTTTTAAGGTTGAAGAAAGCCAAAATCATATACTTTTTAACAAGTGAAAAGCATATGATTTTCAAATTTCAGTATCCATAAATAAAGTTGTTTTCGCATATAGTGTTTATGTATTGTTTATGGCTCTTCTGGGGGGCTACTGCAACAGAGTTGAGCAGCAAAAAAGACCTCATGGCTTGGAAAGACTAAAATACTATCTGGTCCTTCACCGAAAGCTTTCTGACCCTTCGCCTACATACTCCTCACTTGGAGGGGAGGGAGGAGAGGAAAATTAGAAGTCCCAAACTGGTAATCCCTGGCTGAATTAGCCCCCCAGGTCTTGCAGAGGATAGGTTTGGTTGAGTTTCAAAAACCATTTTTAAGTGCCTTTAGATAAGGGATGAGAGCTCCAATTCATTACTTTCCTACACTTCTTACCATTTATTGCCTTCACCGATTTATATTACCTGCCTCCCTTCTGAAGGCATTTGAGTTTATAATGAATGATTTAATGAGTGGTCCTCAAACTTTTTTTGTAGGACCAGGCAGGAAATATTTTAGGCTTTATGATAATTGGTACAATGTCTTTAATGAACAAAATTCAAAATATAATTGGGTATATGTAATTACATTGTTTGTAATTCCTTTTGTGGGGGAATAACACTTGTTCCTTTAATTGGGGTTCCAGGTGTTTCCTATCATCAAAATCAGTTGTAAATGATCACCTGTTAATGGTTATCTGTAATAAGATTTTACACAATTTATCTCTAAAAATGTATTTTCACACAAATAGATACTGCCAAATACTGGCATCAGTCCAGAAGCATAAGATTTTAACTGGGCATATTCATCACTTGGAAGGCATTTGTAAAACCTGTTAGATTCTTCCCTTGATACTTGCTTTATTGTCATTACATAGTACATTAATCACTTCCAATTTAAGGTAGAAGCTCAATTACAGGTGAATGGATTTTGAAATATGTAAATTTCCTTTCTTTGCATTTTCACCAAGGTCCCGAAAATGCGGAACACAGAAAATGTATTCACTGCTAATTTGAGGGAAATCTTTAACTTTTGATAGCATGAGAACTCTGTAACACAAGATACCGTGATTCAAATGTCAGTTGTTGAAATGACCAGTTTCACAGTGAAGTTGTTTGCCTTATAATTATAGGTTAAAATCTTTAAGAAATACTATTATGTCATTAGCAAAAGCTAATTTCTGGAGCCTTTCAGTGTTCTAGAATGTTTAAGAGTGGTTCCTCTTTGTTTTTTTTTAAAGATTTCGTTTATTTATCAGATAGAGATCACAAGTAGGCAGAGAGGCAAGCAGAGAGAGGGGGAAGTAGGCTCCCTGCTGAGCAGAGAGCTAGATTCTGGGCTTGATCCCAGGACGCTGGGATCATGACCTGAGCCCAAGGCAGAGGCTCTTAAGAAAAATTTTCAGTCTTGACCCTGAACTCAAAAAACTTCAAACTTCACAATTGCTAAGAAAATCAAACTTAAGTTGAGCAGTTTCTGACAAAATTCAATCATGATTATAATCCATGAAAGCAAATGAAATTCACCATTGACACATGACAGTTCAAATGTCTTCTGCAGGGTACTTGCTGGTGAATAATAGAATGAATAACCATAGGTTTTAAATATGCTACATTTTCACAAGCTTTATATATTTTTCCAACTAGGTCTTTTTCTACTTTGCATATTTTAACCACTGGGTTGTAACACATCATAGCAGATGCCACTTTTGGTTGTACAGAATTGTTTTCTCACATTCTTTAAAAATACTCCCCCTAGTTGTTCCATGCAGAGTATTCATAGAAGCTAATTCTTCAGTAACTTCAGACTAAGCACTGATGTCTCAAATGAGACCTGAGCAGTATTAATAACATCTGTCAACTCAGCAAGAGTCAAGCTCATTTACTTTCTTGACTTGACTTTGCTCACAAAGTCTTTGAGCAACTATTCTTGCCCAAAGGCCAATAGTCCTAAACAAATTTTCTCTGGATACATTTCTTTGGCCGCTGCATTCAAATACAATGAACTCACCATTAGTAAATGGCTCTCCTTGCTTGGCTTATAAAAGTGTCACTTGGAGACTTACTTTCAAGTTGCGCCCTCATTTTCAGTTTTTATTTTATGAAGAAATTCTATGTTCAGATATTTCCAGATTAAATTTCTAGTTTTTCTGACAGTTGCTTGCTTGTGAGGGAAATCTATGATGAGTACCTCTATTGGTAATGTCAACATGTATTTTAGCTCAGGTATATATGCTTTGTTACCTAATTCAGTATCAAAATAGTTCACATTCCACTATGCTTTAAAAGTACATGATAAGTCCACTTTTCTTGTTTTGAAATAATGAATATACACTAGCAATAAGATATTATAGCTTGGCGATTTACATGGCGCTCAAAATGGTGTTGAGTTAGAATCATGTCCCTGTGAGCAGCAGTATGAGCTGCTAAGAATCACTGTCTGTGTTGTAACTGCTGTTGTTATACCACGAAAGCAGCCACAGACAGTATATAAACAAATGAGCATGGTGTGTTCCAATAAAACTGTATTTATGGACACTGAAATTCAAATTTCATATAATTCTCATGTCACAAGACTTAATTTTTCAAGATTAGTATAAGAACCAATCTCCGGTCATTTGCCATCCAAAAACCAGTGGTAGGCTAGATTTGGCCTGCCAGGCATAGTTTGCCATCCCTGATCTAATGATCTCATTTTTATGACTTATATAGTGATAGGTTAGGGGTACTTATATAAAATTTAGGCACACTTCAACTGAGGATCACTGCAAAATGGTATTAGTGCTTTCTTAGTTAGCATGCAATTATCTCACCTTCAAAACCTATTTTCCGAGGAGATAGTCAATATTTAAATATAATTAATAAAGAATTAATATAACTGATTGTAAGATTATAACATAAAATATGCTTAGTAGATTTATTTCATTTAAATTCTAATTCGATAATCTTCAACTTATAAGACAGCAAGGGTAAAATAGAAGTGTTCAATTCTAAAGTTCATAGCAAACATTTTATGAAACCATACAAGTTATATTTCATTACGTAAGGGTCTAGTGGGGAGAGAGAGAAAACTTTTTCCAATTAAGTGACTGAGGCAATTTGAGTTTTTTCTTCTGAAAAGACTTTATTTTTCTGTCCTCTGGCGTTTAAGAGGTGGATCGTCATGATTCTCTGTAACAAATCCAGAAAACCTGTATTAGGTAAGATACTTAACATTGGAAAATACTTTCAAAAAGCAAATAATACAGGCCTTTTAAAGAGTTTTAATATTCAACTTATACATGAAATAGTAACATTCCCATGGATTTACTATTTTAATGAAACTGCCTTCTACTAGACTGAACAGTGTGTATGCCGTGCTAAAATTTGTACAATTGGGAGAAAGTAGTCACAACTGAGCAGCAAGGAATCCTGAATTGAAATATCTAACTAGAATTAGTTTCACATATTTCCAAATTTAATTAATAAAACATATATGTAGACTAAAAAAGCTACATGAAGGTATTATAGTTTATATTTAATTTCCCAGAAACTGCTCACCTTGATTTAGGGTCTGGTTCTTGTAGAGTACAGCAGCAGGAATCCGGAAGGTGATACATAACATTTCCTTGTTAGGGGCTACATTTCTTACTGGGTGAATTGAACTGCATGCCTCCAAGGAAATGCCCAACACAGCCCCAGCTTGTTGCTGAACATCCTTAGCAGGATTAGGATCTTTGGAAAAGCTGTAACAGTGCACTATGGGAAGAAGCTCAGTGCTGCATGGTGGCCCATCTAAAAGTGATTTGAAAACACTGAGAAACTCGATAGCCTTTGCTGGCAAGTTCATGACAATGTGCACAGAGTGTTTTCTTTCTTTTGACAGTGGTCCCAGCTGCTGCATTAACTCTTCTCTCACTGGTCCTTGAAGGAAGTCTTTCCCATCCAAGTTAAAGACTTTCACCTTTTGGTCCACTTTATTTAATTTACAATTGTGCAACAGCCATTTATGGGATTCAGGATTGAGATCATTAGCAAATACAGTGCAGTTTTTCTTTGCTACTGGAATGGCAAAAGGCCCAACCCCAGCAAAAACATCAAACAGTACATCCCCAGGTTTGAGAAGTTCTGTGATACGACTGTGTTCTGTAGAGAGACGAGGATTCCAATAGACTTTTGAAAAATCAAATTCATAGGTGTAGTTGTTTTCTCGAACCTGAAAAAAGTATTATACTTTGATTAACCTGATAAGTCTTAAATTCCAGCCATGAATACTGGACTGGATATCCCACACACATACATTTACATTTAATAGAAAATAACAGTGCATTTTAATTATAATTCTGGTGTTTATGCTATCCTTGAGGCCAGTTAACAACCCACGTTAGACTTTGACATGAGAAAATTCATCTCTTTAAAGCCAAATGGCTCTCCATTTCATTCTAATGGGTCATAAAGTGGTTCCCAAATCACATGAGGAATTTTTCAGACAGGCCAGCTGACTGGCTTAATCATACTCTATTTTGTCACCTGATGGAGAGAGAAATAAACCTATAATTTGAAACAACACACCACACACATCTTCACAATGACTAGCTAAGTTGCAGATAGCACTTCCACTCAGCAAATAAGCTTCCTTAGTTTTCAGTTTGTAAGAGGGAGGCATGATAGATGTGTTATGCACCAGTGAATTTTGGGGTATTTTGCTATGTTTCTGGATAGTTACACGGACATTGCAAGTTTCATGACTACAAATTAGAGCCAGTGTACAGAACAAATCATTCTGCTATTTTCTCTTTTCCCAAATTTGAGTTTTCATGGATTAAATTAAATTTATACAATGAAGCTAAATCTTGAAACACATTTAAGACTTAATGCCATTTTTGGGGGGACTATCATAAACACAACAGAAAACAAAATTAAAATTATAGTCATGGAATGTGACTTCAGCCCTTATTTTAATGGATGAAGAATTAAAGGGCAAGAAAAGTTTGTAAGTTCTATAAATCTGGTAGAGATACATATTTTCTATATTCTGCCTTCATGGAATATTCTGCCTTCAAATTTGTGTAAATATTTTTTCATCCCAACCACATCAGATGCTCTGGCCATGTTAAGGCTCCAGAGTTAGAAATGTTCCTTCATTATTCTGCCAACTAAAACCTGGAAGGTTCTGAGTATGTCTTGGGAAGCTTTTCCTGAAATATCCTTTCTACTCCCCCTTTTTAATGTGAAGCACAGTACTAGTTTGAAAAAAAAAAAAAATTCTAAGTATCCTTCTGGTTTTACTCACACTGTCTCTGATAACTCACTCACCCAGTCAGCATTACTTTCAGCCCAATTAACTTTCAGGTATCTTTTTAGTCACAATATACACACAAAGTACGTATATGTTGCATGAGCTCCTGAAGTCAAATGTGATTCTATTTGGAGCAAAGAAATTATACTGGGTGAGCCTTTACATTTATTTTATGGTATAAATGTTAAGTATTAAATATATCCTAAGAACAAACTTTAGTTGACTTAAGAAATCAGTCAGAAACCGTTTTAAAAATTACATAAGTTTCTCAGAACTTTTAGAGCTCTGAGAAGAATGATGCTACCTGCTATCGTAAAGGGTGGTAGCAAATGAAGAACATGTAGTATTCAATCAGTGTGTGCTGAGATAAGCAGTGATACCAGCAAAGGATTCACATTCAAATCTCACTTGCTGTAACAGACCTCATATTTGTAACTACATGTATGTAATACTATGTACTACATACAAGCAGTAGGCCATGGAGGTTATACAGGGAAAGACTACTATGAAGTCAGAAGCCTGGCCCCCAACACCCTACTCAATCATACCTTGTTACTTCACCTGCATAAAGAGAATATTAAAAAGAATAACCATTATCTTGTGGGCTTCTTAAAATTTGTTATATTTAAAACATCAGCTAAGGCCTAATAGTAAGTGTGTAGTAAATGGTATTTTAATATTCAGCTACTATTAAATTATGGAGAAATAATATTATACCTAAAATATCCACCTAAGCTTATGTGTCCCAGAACCTTAAAAAATAATTCTTTTGCATAAACTCTCTCCTGAGTTTTACAAAGTCCTGTTTAAAAGAAGTCAGTCAAAGAAAGACAAGTGCCATGAGTTCACTCATATGTAGAATTTAAGGAAAAAAAAAAATGATGAATGTAGGGGGAGGGGGTAAAAGGGAAGTAGACGTAAGACACTGTTAACTATAGAGCACAAACTGAGGGTTGCTAGAGGGGAGGTGGGAAAGGGAGGGGCTAGATGGGTGATGGGCATTAAGGAGGGCACTTGTGATAAGCAATGGGTATTATATGTAATGATGAATCACTAAATTCTACACCTGAAACCAACATTACACTATATGTTAACTAACTAGAATTTAAATAAAAACTTGAAAGAAACAAACAAAAAGACGTATCTTACATTTTAAGAGGATTTTGTTATTAAAATTTTTGTCAAGTTATGGAGAGAGTTTAACCCATTTCCTAGCTTGGGTATAAAATTTCATATAATGTTAATATATAATCATCTAAGACTTTTGGCTTAAAAAAGGTTTATATTCTCTAGCACTTAAGAGGATTTTGGGGGTAGAGGATGAGATTTTAGGGGTACCAGGTATCTTTCCTACATATTTAAAAATATTTTTTCTTTGAAATAGATTTGTTTTTCTTATAAAAGAAATATGTGCTCAGTAGAAAAGTATAAAGATGAGAACAAAGGTCACTAGTAACTACATCAAATAAAAATATGCCCACTGTTAACATTCTAATATATGTGCATATTTACATAAATAAGTTACTTAGTTAAAATAAAGCGATATTCTATATACTATTTTATATGCCAGAATTTGATCAATTCACTGATGAACATTTAGATTGTTTCCATTCCTGTTTTGTTATTATAAAAATGATGATGAAGAACCTAGTACATACATCATTACAATTTTGTCCAGTTTTATCCTCAGGTAACTTCCTGTAAATGCAATGATAGGTCAGAGAACATACGTATTCAAAACAGCAATATATTCCCATATATTCTTCCTGAGTATCTATCAAATTTGCACTTCCATCAAAGGCTATATAAACGCTCACATTCTCACATACTCATCAATACTGGGTTACTGTAAATATTTTTAATCTTTGTCATCTTTTAAGATTCTAAACATTAATCGATATAATATGTGCCTAGGAGACAATAAAATACTCCATACCTTGGTCATCATGTTCTCCTCTCCAGATAGCACTTCCATTTGGAAATTTCGGTATGTATTATCAATATTATTGATTTTATTTACTGCTGAGGTGATTCCTGGATTTTTGTCAATCATAACTTGGCCTGAAAGATAAGAATTCGTAATAAATATTGCCAATTGGTTGCAAAATAAAACTGAATATATGAAATGGAAATAAACAATTTTCTTTTGGTTTATAGACAAAAATTGCACCTATACAGTGGCATGCAATTCTAAAAATTCAACAGATTAGTAAAGTTAATGTCGCCTCCAATACAGATACAAAAAAACCATATGGGTACGTTTTTAAAGAAAAATTTTCGAGGGGCGCCTGGGTGGCTCAGTCAGTTAAGTGTCTGCCTTCAGATCAGGTCATGATCCCAGGGGGATCAGCTAGGTGGGGAGCCTGCTTTTCACTCTGCCTCTGCTGATCCCCCTGGTTGTGCGCCCTTACTCTCTTTCTGTCAAATAAATAAATAAAATATTTAAAAAAAAAAAAAAATTTTCAAGGAGTTTGGATCTACCTAATATTTTTCCTTTTTAAAAAATTTTTTTTTTACTAAATCTCAAATGGATCAATACACAACAATAATCAAAAAGGGAGACCATAGGTAAAGAACAGAAAGAGATGTAAGGACCATGGCAACAAAGATCTCAGAAATCACCAGTCTGTCCTAACTGGCCCCAAATCAAATGTCTGCTTTACTGTGTGCTTGAAACAGATAGATGCCTTCGCTTTGGAAATATATAACAGGAAAATAAGTTTTCAAATAAAAGAAACATAGATTCTTAGGGTGCCTGGGTAGCTCAGTTGGTTAAACATCTGACTTCAGCTCAGGTCATGATTTCAGGGTTCCTGCTCAGTGGGAAATCTGCTTGTCCCTCTCCCTCTGCCCCTCCCACCCACTCTCTTGCACACTTTCTATCAAATAAAAAAATAAAATATTAAAAAAAAAGAAACATAGATCTTTAGAGTCTTATCTAAATTCAGTGTTCATTTACTTAAATTATTTTTGTCAAATATTTGCCGGAGCCAGAAAAGCTACAAAATAATAAAACACACCAGAAATGGTATATTGATGCCCGTCAATTAAAGTCTACCTTTTTTGTCAGCACTTAAAAAATTTATAAGAATCTACATACTATCTCACTGCATAAAGATAACTTGATTTGTAAGCTAGTAAAAAGTACTCAAAAATACAAATACACTGATATATAATAAAAATTTGTCCAGTTTCTGATAATTAGATACCTGATTTTAAATATGATAGTATCAATAAACTCCAGCCAATCATTGTTCTTATCCTGTTCCACTTAAGGTATCAGAACTCAATTTTTAAGGTACGGTAGCTTGAAATGAGGCATGAAATAAAAAACAAAACCAATTCTGAAAGTCTATAGTAGAAGCTTTAAAATTGCCACTGTATGAAAATGTTTCACTTTTAATCTATGAGTGCTCTTTTATAAAATAGGGACTCCGAAAGGTATGTTTGACTTATGACAAGTAATGACTCACAGCAAAGCTTATCCTTGACATTTGTGCCCAGTTACACATATAAAGATCTGCTTAGATATTTATTGTATTATCACTATGTATTATCAGCCCCTATCATCAATAAGAACCAGTGAAATGTATAACAGCATATTTCTGAAATTCAACCCATGCAAAATACTGAGAGCTACATTTTAAAGGTGAAAATAATTCCCATAAGTTCTGACAATACTCTACATTAAAAAAATTTAATCTGGAGAATACATGGACATCAATATTTGTAAAGGGATACCTGCAATCGTGATTAGTCTTCTGTCTTACCCCAAAGGATAAAGGACCCACGCTCAAACGTGAAGGCTTACAGAGGTACAACACACAAAAGCATCATTTCTAAAAAGGTTAAGGGCACTAAAAACAAAGTATGGTGCTTGACATACAGAAGATACTCAATCAGTTGAATCAAAGCATGAGTAAACACTGTCTTGCAATTTTGATGGTAAAACACTAAAATTTAAGAAACCTAGAATTCAATATAGCTCTGAGGGCCTAATAAGTCCTGTGTACCAAAATGATGAGATGCCAAAGAATTCTGCCAAAGGTGAAGATGTGAGTTTAATCTATGCTTGTATGTTGTATACACAAAAGCCTGAACTGATTCTTAGAGCTTTGCTGTCACTTGGGGAAGAATATTCCAAAACTGGTCTTAAAAGAGAGGTTGTGTAGCCCAAGATCCAGTTTAAAATTAAAATGATAAAATGTCCTGCTTCTGTAATTTGACATCAAATAATTTTAAGAACTAAAATTAGAACTTGCTAATTACTATTTAGTACATGAATGTTACTAAGACACGTACCAATTAAATGCTTGAAAGGTAGCTGATGATCTCGAAGGTTCAGATGGGCAATATGTCCAACTCTGCTAAAACCTGAAGTCACATCTTGACCTTCAGGAAGCACAGCTTTCAAGATTTCTTCTGACTTAAAGTTTTCATAAGTCAGTTCCAAACTGTATTTAGATATCTGTGGATTGACATTAAGCTGCTTTAAAATACTGAGTTCTGCTCTCTCAAAGGAATCATCAGTAAATATTTTATAGGGATCCAACATAATTAGTCTACTTTCTTCATCTTCTGGATCTTCAATCACACGTTTTATGCCTGGGCGCTGCAGTGCTGCCCTTTTAAGGGATCGCATCAGTTTATTGACTATTTCTTTCCTAACTTTAAGCACTGGGATGGTTACTATCTTTTTAAAAGCTGTTCTATCAAGTTTTGTCATTCCTCGAACATTAGAAGGTGGTGAAAACAATTCAGAGTCTCTCTGGTCTGTTTCTATTTCAGGCATAGTTGAGAATTTTTTTCTTTGATCCAACAAGAAAGGTGCTCTGCTATGCTTCTGTATCTGTGATGTCCAAGAAGATAGTGGAGTCAGTAATTCTGATTCAGATATTCTACAGCTTTCCACTTTGAAAAGTGTTCTTGAGAATCCAAATGGCCTCCATAAGATCCTAAAAAAAAGGATGGATTTTTAAAAAATACCATAAAATTACAAACTTATATGTGTACAATAGGTTAAGAATAAAAATTCTAGGGGTGCCTGGGTGGCTTAGTTAAGTGGGGGGCTCTTGATTTAGGCTCAGATCATGATCTCAGGGTCATGAGACTGAGCTCTGTATCAGATCCCTCAGGCAGCAGGAGGTCTGCTGGAGAGTCTCTTCCTCTGCCCCTCCCCCCCACTCTCTCTAAATAAATAAAATCTTGGAAAAAAATCTAAAATGCTAATTTTTCAAAAAAAGATTTACTTATTTGACAGAGAGAGATCACAAGTAGGCAGAGAGGCTGGCAGAGAGAGAGGGGGAAGCAGGCTCCCCACTGAGCAGAAAGCCCTATGTGAGACTCAATTCCAGGACCCCAGGACCCCAAAACCACAACCCCAGCTGAAGGCAGAGGCTTAACCCATTGAGCCACCCAGGTGCCCCTAAAATTCTCCCGTTTTAAACAACCTGCTAAATGCTGATAATTAAAACTTCTAGTAATGTGTGACAAGTATACTATCTTTTCCATGATACATTGTTTTTTATTAGTAGTAAATAATAAATTTGCAGCTTCAAATCACCTGTGGCCACAACAAGGGCTTAGTGATCCATCAGCCTCCCTATAGTCAATGAACCTCTCCACCCACAATTTTCTATACATGTGGGATTGGAAGGCTGTGATTTAAGTTAAAAGATCATCTCTAAATGAAATGGTCATTAATTTTATGACTGTACCAATGGCAATATTTACTAGGATATTCTTAGGAGTGCTACATGCTTTACAATACACTGTCAATCTTGCCAGGTGTGTGATATCACATCCTTATTTTGTAAACGAGCATACTAAAGGTCAGAAGTAGGTTAATTCACCCAGTCTCGCTGCTGTAAGGGGCTGAGCAAGGATTAAAAGCCAGGTCGGCCTGACTTCAGAGCCTGTGGTCTTAATATATTGCTAGTATTGCTGGGTTGTCTGTCTTCAATGCTTTCCTACCACAAGTCGATGACTTGAGGTTTCGGTATTCGGAGGAGTAGGATTTGCTAAGTCTTTTTTTTTTTTTTTTTTTTTAAGATTTTATTTATTTGCCAGAGAGAGAGAGAAAGAGTACACACAATCAGTCAGAGGCAGCGAGAGAAGCAGGCACCCCGCCCAGCAAGGAGCCCGATGCGGGACTCGATCCCAGGACCCCGGGATCATGACCTGAGCCGAAGGCAGCGGCTTAACCAACTGAGCCACCCAGGCGTCCCGGATTTGCTAAGTCTTATATGCCCACTACATTAACAGTATCAGTTATTCACTTTACCTTCTAAAATACCAAAGAACCAACCGGTAGGGAAAGGGCCCTGTCCCAGGACCCCGTAAAGCAATTTTCGAACTTCACAGTCAGGGTTCAAATTTGGTCTAGCAGTAAGCCAGTTATGTGATCTTGTAATATCTTAACCCGAGTCTCGGCTTCCCACGTGTAAAATGAAAGGCTCTTTCAGAAAGCTTTTGAAAAGATTAAACTCATTACTTCCTAGCACCTACTCGGACCTAGGCTCAACACCCAGGCGGTAGGTGACCTCACAACGTTCTTGCGGCGGAGAGCAGACCTTGGTGGCCGGGTACTGCCACCCGACCCTCAGCCTCTCGGTTCAGGGGCCTTGCGCTCACCACCTCACCAACGTCACCATCCCAATTCCCGGCGTCGCTCCGCGTCTGACTCCAAGACTACACCCCTCTCGGGCTCTGGTGAGGGTCGGAAACGGGTCACTCGTGGAAAGGCAGGCCCTCGATGACATCATCACCGTTCGCCACCAAGAGACGAGCGTCATCAGGTCGCGCCGACTCCCTCCTTTCTTCGGCTCGCTGGGGTAAGTACGGTAACCCGGAAGGGCCGGTCCCACAGCCCCGCCTCCGACGCGACTAACGAGGTTTGGGGTGGTATCTCTCAGATGGACCTGGTAGTCGGCCAGCGAGCAGCATGGAGGCACCCTGGGGGATCGTCAACGCTGAGCGGAGCTGGTACGTCTCTGCCCAGCAGCCTGAAGAGGCGGAGGCGGAAGACTTGCGACCGTTGCTAAGCAACGTAAGTGGCCTCTGCTAGCTTCCCGGTGCTGAAGGCGTCCGGGCTTCCCTGAAATGTCTGGCACAGAAGACCGGGGAAAGAAGGGAGGTGGGGCTGCGGCATGGGGAGAAGGGAGAAGCTGGAGCCTGACTCTTGGGGCATGGGGCGCTAAGGCAGCATCCAGACGCCGATGAGACTGGGCGGAGTGCATGGATGTGCTAGCCGCGTAACAGGGCCCAGAAAGAAGGCCCAGGCACAGGTGGAAAACGATGACTGGATGAGCAGCCCTAGCATTATGTAACTCGGTGCTGTTCCTTAGTGTCTCTGTGGACTTCCTGTTCCTTCCACCAGTCTTGTGAGGTTTTTGCCAGAGTCACAAGATTTTTCTTTTCTAGACTTAGTCATTGGGTGCATAGAAACATCTTCATACAGAGAGCCTTAGCGGTGAGGGAAGGGAGGTGGCCTGGTGTTAAGTACATAAGCACTTCCTTGACCCTAAAGCCTGTGCAATGGATCCTTGGCCTTTTAACTCAAGTCCCTGCACTCTAACAGTTTCTAGACTTTGCTCCCAAATGCTGTTTTGGAAGAGGGTGTTTTCAAGGGTATCTTCGGTAGAGCAACGTGAATTGGTTCTATTATATCGTCATTGCAAGGTATTCCTGACCATCCTTGCATTTGAGCTGACTTAATTCTTTAAATATATAGAGATTACTTTTGCAGTCCTAGTAATTGGGGAGCAACCTTGTCTACAGCAGCCACGAGCTGACTCAGGAATTCTTCAGTAATCACATGGGCTGAGGCCATCTCCCTTCTCTCTGTCCCACTTCATTCCTATCCTATCTTCATCTTTTGCAGTCACAAGGCTAGTCATGGCTTTTCCTGAAGTCTGCCTGTGCTCTGTACTGGTGGAGATGAATTTTCTAGGAAACGAGATTCTGGCCCTGCACTAGTGGGTGGGGGAAGGGAAGAAAGGAACCCACGGTGCCTGTGGTTTGCAGGAAACTTTACCCATAACTTGTCATTCATTTCATGATGAAATTGGAACTTCACCATCCAAACATTTAACACTACTAAATTTGTGTGCTTGCAGGAAATTTACAGACAGGGATCCCCAGGTGTTTCATTTGGTTTTTCTGTGTTTAATCTGACGAATGCCATCATGGGAAGTGGCATCCTTGGCTTAGCTTATGTTATGGCTCATACTGGCATCCTTGGATTTAGGTGAGTTTTTTTTTTTTCCTTCTTCTTTTACTGTTACTTTTATTTTTTTTCCCATTTTGACAGTACACCAAGAAACAAAGAGATAGGCTCCAGAGCTGGTGTTACATGGTGTTTAGTTAAATTATTTCTGGGGTTTTGGCATTTTCCTGCTACTCTTATATTGTTGCTAGTCTGTAGCTTGGAGGGATGCAATATAATTTGTATTTTTTATCCAGAAGTGTGGCTAATTTTTAAAAATGGAAACTTGATCCATACTTGCTTATAATAACCTTAAGGAGTGGCTGTTTTTTTGTTTGTTTTTAAGATATTGTTTATTTATTTGACACACAGAGAAAGAGAGAGGGAGGGAATATAAGCAGGGGGAATAGGAGAGGGAGAAGCAGACTTCCCACTGAGCAAGGAGCCCGATGTGGGGCCCAATCCCTGGACCCTGGGATCATGACCTGAGCTGAAGGCAGATGCTTAATGACTGAGCCACCCAGGCGCTCCAAGGAGTGGCTATTTGTTGTGTCAAGTTGGCCAAAGTGAATTAAAGTTTATCAGCCATACAGATTACCTATAAATAGCAATTTTGTGAGTGTAAAGTTCATAATCTTTTCAATTCTCTCCATCTTCTCCTGTCTTCCTGCTGTTAGGTAGTCTTGTTTCCCTGAGTCTAAACATGTGTTCTGTGTTTATTCCTTTTCATCCAGACTTAACTCATTCCAGTTGGTCCAAAAGAGAAATCCCTGGCTTTTCTGTGTTTCCGTAGTACTTTGCGTATTCATTCTGTTATTATAATGTGTTATAATGATTTGTTTGCAAGTTCATTACCCTGCTAAACTCAAATCCTTTAGAACTCGACCTTATCCTTAGCATTTAGCATTTGTTTTCTTTATCAGTAGAAGCAGATCTATTTTACCCGGAAATTTAAAATAAAAATTGAGTCTCATTAGGTTTATTTTCTGTTTTTATTTTGCATTTCTTGATAAGCAACCAGTTTTTAAGTAATGCAACTTAAAGATTTATTTATTTGAGAGAGAGCATGGGCACAAGCAGGAGGGGTAGAGGGAGAGAGAGAGAATCTCAAGCTGAGCCAGAAGCCTGACCTGGGGCTCCACCCCATGACCCTGAGTTCATGACCCAAGCTGAAACCAAAAGTGAGATGCTCAACCAACTGTATCATCCAGGCACACCTCCACCCTGACTTGCTTTTATAATGGGTTATATGCACAACCTTTCATAATTTTTAAAAATTAAAAAAAAAATTTAAGTAGAATCCACACTAATATGGGACTTGAAATCACAACCCTGAGATGAAGTCTCACGCTCTTCTGAGTGCTAGGTGTGCCTCATAATTTTTTACAAGCTTTAATTTAAATTCCCATTAGTTAATATACAGTGTGATATTGGTTTCAGTTGTACAGTACAGTGATTCAGCAATTCCATACATCACCTAGTGCTTATCACAGTACACGCCTTAATCCCCATCACCTATTTCTCCCATCGCCCGCTCACCTCCCCTCTGGTAACCATCAGTTTGTTCTCTATAGTTAAGAGTCTGTTTCTTGATTTGTCTTTCTCTCTCTCTCTCTTTTCTCCTCTTTGCTTGTTTTGTTTCTTAACAAACTCTCATAATTTAAAAACTTCAATAGTGTATTTGATATCTTAGGCATGACATAATCATAGGACTTATTTTTGGATTCCCTTTTTAAAATCTGCATGCAGATGTATACCACCGAACATGTCCTTTTTGAATCATATCACATTTTCCATTTAGTGATACCAAACAGTTATTTTATGAGGCCTCAAGTGTACTGACAAGTGTACTTGTATATAAATGACAGGTGTACCTCTCAGCTTTGCTACTTCGTAACAAGTATTAAGTAGACCACGAAGAATTTCTTCAACTTCTGGGGCATTCCACTAGTGCCAACTTTCTAAGAAGCTTGTCCTGTTAGTATCCTCCTGAGAATAAGTAGGAAATTGTGCATGTTGTTTCTTTTCACACTTTTGGTACAAGGATCCTAATTATTACATTATTTGCACCTTTTGAAATTGTGTCAATAGATGTGTGTTAACTGCTTTTGTTTGGTTTGGTGAGTGTATATGTGTTTAATGAATGCTAGGAAATGTCGTTTTTTAAAAAGATTTATTTATTTTAGAGAGAAGGTGAGAGTATGTGAGTGGGTGGGGAGAGAGAGGGAATCTTCCGCAGACTCCCCACTGAGTGAGGAGCCATACCTGGGCCTCCATCCCACGACCCTGTGATTGTGACCTGAGCTGAAACCAAGAGTTGGATGCTTAACCAACTGAGCCTCCCAGGTGGCCCTAGGAAATGCAGTCTTAATTCAAAATTATAGATGAAAGTATGATATGGAGGTACAGTCATTGGAAGAAGAGGGATGGAGGGAAGGAAAAAGAAGAGAATGAGATTTCACAACTAAAACTTCTGTTTAGACTTAAAATAGGAAGAAATAGTTATAAAAGGGAAGTATTGCAAGATCACTGAATGGCTGAGCTAGCAGTCAGCAGACAAGAGTGCTGAGGGAGAAAATTGTTTATGTTTTAAATAAAGTTTGTTTCCTTTTTTTTAATCTAAAAGCAGTATATTTTCATTTAAATAAAATTTGGTGAATACAGAATAATATTTTCTTGAGTGACCATAATTCAGCTACTCAAAAGATAGTCCCTATGAACATTTGAATGTGAAAAAAATCTGTTTTTGTAATGAAATACCTCAAAAAAGGAAACTTTGTGGGGATTTAACCATGTACTTTTTTTTTTAAAGATTTTATTTATTTATTTGACAGAGAGAGAGATTACAGGTAGGCAGAGCAGCAGGCAGAGAAGCGGGGAGAAGCAGGCTTCCCACTGAGCAGAGAGCCCGACGCGGGGCTCGGTCCCAGGACCCTGAGATCATGACCTAAGCTGAAGGCAGAGGCTTAACCCACTGAGCCACCCAGGCACCCCATGACCATGTACTCTTTTATATTTCAGTTTTTTGCTGTTGATAGTTGCTCTCCTGGCTTCTTACTCAGTTCACCTCCTGCTTAGTATGTGCATTCAGACAGGTGAGTAAAAATACTGTCCTGAGTCATTTGTTGAAGCAGCCCCTTGAGATGATAACCACAGATGGGACTGGATGTGTCAAATTTAATTTCCAGCAGGCATATTATTATTATTAGGTAGGGTGGTTGAACTGGAGAATTTCAAAAGGCCAGGATAGATAGACCCAATCCTAGGAGAAGATTTAAGGACAGAATGGGAGGAAGAAACTTACCTGCCTTTCTCTACAGCACACAGCATAGTTTTCTAGATTCGGGTAGATTAGGGGAAGCACCTGCAAGGTGTTCAAAGAATCCAAACTTTATCTTATGGGGAAGCAGTAGACAGGGGTTTATTATGATCATATTTCTCCTAGGGTGATTATTTCCCCCAAGGAGAACACCTTCTCAGATTTATTCCTGCCTGCTCTGTAGGAGGCAAGTTCACTAAACTTTGGATTTATTTAGATAGTTTTATATTTTTAATTGCAAGTCTAGAAGAAGGTAGTTTTTTGGTAAATGACAGAATTATATGCAATTAAAACAATATAGATGTGTATATGCGTTTTACCATTTGGAACTTTATTATTTAATTCAGTCATATATTCAGTTCTTTTCAGTTGCAATGAATAAAAATATATGAATTACAGAACTGCTTTAATAGAGTTTTTCAAATGACATGAACACATGTTCTATGTTCCTCAATCCTGATCTTTTTATCTATCTGGTCTCTATTATGTTTGAATTAGGTCAGTTTTGATGGCAGAATCATGAATTTAATTCTTATGTGGGTGAATTCACTTTGCTCTATCAGTTTTGTAGTTTTCAGACTTTAAGAAGCAGAATAGTTACAGGTGAGAGAAGCCCAAAGGTATTTCTTGAGAATTTTAAGACTCTCCAGAGCATAGTTCTAAATCCTCGGCTCTACTCTATTTAATCTGTCTGTGCATCAGACATACCTGCAGATCTTTTTATAAATAGAGATTTATAAATCATGGGGATTCTCATTCCAGGGATCTGAGGTGCAATTAAGAAATATGTTTTTAAAAGTCCTCCTGGTGATTCTTATGCAAAACTGATTTAGGATCCACAGTTCACAGCTATATCTTGTACCAGCGCCTTTGGCCATCCAGCCTGCAGATGTGTGCCTTTGCTTTCAAGGAGCTTTGGTAACAGTGCAAACAGTGAACCTACTAGGAAACAATGCAGTGATATTAATCTGAAAGTAAAAGTTGTTCATAAGAGCGTCCCAAATTCAGGAATAATAGCATTAAATAGGTGTCTATGAATCCTCCTGAAACTTGACCGGAATTTTAATGACATGTTTTAAAATTCTGCTTCTTTGTGTGACAAAATTATTTTCACCTAACTGTGGTAGTTTTAACATCTTAATAGTTTATTTTATTATGGATTCTACTGAAAGAGTAATATTTTAGTCAACCATATGGCAGTCTTCATTAACTAAAATGTTATAACATGCTTTATTAATTTCAATTATTTGGGAGTAATATTCAACTTAGGAAGATTTCCAAGTAATGCTAATTTTTTTTTTCCTTCAGTTCATCTATATTTAACTTTAAAATTCTGACACTGTCTTGGTTTCTTTTACTTTAGGGTGTATGAACTGAAAACCTCTGTTTCTTTCTCTTTTTTCTTTTTCCTTTTTTTTTGTAGCTTACTTGGTCCATGAACTAACTACTTCATGGTTCTTCATATATATTGATGCACCTGTCTTCTGTTGAATTCCTTCAGTCATTGTAAAGTTCTTTATGGAGGTAGGCTTTTAAAAAATGTATATACATATATACATATGCACACACATAAAAGACTAGAGAAATTTTTTCTTCAATGTATTGGACTGTCATAAAGGAGTATTAGATCAAATTGATTGGTCAGAGAAAGGGCTTTCATAAGTCTTTACAAAATGACTTCATTTATTTGCCTGGAGTACAAGAGGAATGTTTATCTTTATAAAAATAAAGGATTTCTTCTTGTGAAATTCTGCTGTTTTGGATTTTATATAGGAATTGAGGTCTCTTAAGACTGTTTGGGGAATGGAGGTAGCATATAAGGTACCTTAATCTCTCTAGCCTTAGTTTGTTATCTTTTAAATGGTAATAATAATCTTTCCTTTTGGGATTGTTGTGAGAATGAAATATAGTAATGTATATAAAATGCCAAGTCTTTGGTCAGTGCTAGCTTTTACTATGAGTTCTCACTGATGCAAAACCTTTGAAATTTGCAAGATGTTATACACTTTGCTGTCTCAGAAACAGTTGGCTTATTGTGATTCTTTGGGGAAACTTCTGTGCTTAGGGAATAAACCCATAGGGCCCCTTCTCTGGTCTCCACATTGCTGTCAGCAGGAGGGAGTTCATTGATCCTACCACTTTGTACTTTCCCTTACTCTCTTGTCCATGTATCCCCCTTTTTCCATTTGAAATTTCATGGTATGTTATTACAAGCACTCCCTTGCTCCTCCCTTATCATCCTACTCCTCTGGCAAAACTCCAGCCATGGTTAAATGTGACTCTGCCTACTTCACACATGCACCTGTGCAACTGAATGTTCCTGAAGAAAAACACACAACCTCGCAGATCGATATCACTACAATTCGGTGTCTAGTGGACCTATGACACTATCACACAATCCTCATTAACTTCCTTAGTTCATTCACATGCTTAGTCTTCTGTCTAGGAGATGATGCTTTGAACACATTCTCCTTGATTACAATCTTAGCTGATAACCTCACTTTCTATTTCACTGAGAAAATAGAAGGAATCATAAATGAACATTATAAGCTCTTGCCACCATTACTTTGGAGGAACTCTTAGTGTTCTTATCTAAGGTCAGCTTCTCTACTTCTGCTCTGATCCCATCTGCTCTCATCTACATCCCTCCAGTCACTCTCTCCCTTCTCACTTCTTTTTTATCATCTTTGTTCCTTTGTTTTCTTCCTATCAGCTTACAGAGAATCTATCATTTCTTCCATTTTAAGAATGACTCTACATTCCTTCAATATGCTCCATACCTCTTCAGAAGACTTGTTTATGCCAGAAAGTTTCCCTCTCTTATTCTATCTCTGTTTTCCCCCCTCTTATTCTCTTGAACCAACTTCAGTTAGGCTTTCCACCATCATTCCATTGGAATTATTGTACCAGTGACTTACATTTAGTTGCTAAATCCAGCAGTCAGTTGTCAGTCTTCACCTTGGTTGATCGTTCAGCAGCATTTGGTAGTTAGTTGTTTCTTCCTCTGTGTGACACTTATTTACAGACTTCTGGTTTTTGTCCTATTTCTCTGAATACTCCTCCTTTTTCTCTGCTGAATATTCTTCATCTTTCCATCTTCTAAACATTGGAGTACCCCAGGACTCTTCCTCTAGTTTCTTTTATACTCACTAGGGCTCATAGTGACCCTAAAATTTATGTCCTTAGCCTGACTCTCTTCCCCTGAATTTCAGTCTCATATCCAACCACCTCCATGACATCTCCACTTGGATACTAATATATATATCTCGAGTTAACAGAACTGTCCAGTTTTGCACTTCCAATCTATACCTTCCACTCTTTTCTCATCTAAGTAGATGATAGCATCTTCCTTTTAGTTGCTTGGGTCAAAGATCCTGGAGTTATGGTGAACTCATTTTTTCCCCTTGTACTCCGAATGCAAGCTCCAAATGTGAGGAAGTACCCATTCTATAATTTTGAAGGTAAAACATTGACACAAGACATGAAGACACTGATGGAAAGCTGTAGAGGCTACCATTTGATCCACCAGATGTACTACCAGATCTAGATGATACTACTAGATATCTAAATGAGTTGAAAACTTATGTTGACACAAAAACTTGCACATGGATATTTATACCAGCTTTATTCATAGTTGCCAGACTTGGAAGTAACCAAGTTGTTCTTTGGTAGGTGAATGGATATATGGTGGTCCATCCAGACAATGAAATACTATTGAGCACTAAAAAGAAATGAGCTATCAAGCAATGAAAAGACATGGTGGAACCTTAAATGCATATTACTAAGGGAAAGAATCCAATCTGAAAAGGCTACATCCTGTACAGTTCTAACTATATGACATTCTTGGGGCGTGTGGCTGGCTCAGTCAGTAGAGCATGCAACTCTTGATCTCACTTTCATGAGTTCAAGCCCCGTGTTAGGTGTGGAGCCTACTTTTTAAAAAATGGTTGACTCTATGACATTTTGGAAAAGAAAAAACTATGGAGACAGTAAAAAGACCAGTGGATTCCAGGGGCTAGAGGGGAAGGAGAAATGAACTGGCAGAGCACAGAGGATATTGGGGATAGTGAAACTGTTGTATATGATACTTTATTAGTGGATACATGTCATTATTCATTTGTCAAAACTCATAGAATGTGCAGCACCAAAAGTGAATTCTAATGTAAACTATGGACTTTGGGTAATAATGATGTGTCAGTGTAGGTTCACTGATTGTAATAAATGTACTGCTGCAGGGGAAATGTTGACAGTAGTGGAGACTGTGCATGTTTGGGGTTAGGGGGATGTGGAAACTCTCCCTACTTTCTGCTCAATTTTGCTATGTAGTTAAAATTGCTCTTAAAAAGAAAGTTTATTAAAAAAAAAAACATTAAATGGGCACCTGGGTGGCATAACCAGTTAAGCATCAGACTCTTGGTTTTGGCTCAGGTCATGGTCTCAGAGTTGTGAGACAGCCTCATGTTGGATTGTACACTGAGAATGGAGCCTGCTTAAGGTGCTCTCTCCCTCCCTCTCCCTTTGCCCCTCCCCTCAAAAAAATTTAAGAAACAAACTCAGAGGAAAAGAGGAAACAGAGATAATACAGAGACCAGATGAAAACGTTAAAAAAATACTATATTTAATAGCTTCAGAGAACTAAAAGAAGATAACTGCATTTTTGAAACAAAGATAAGAAATTATTAAAAGGTTATAATAAGAGAACACAAGAGTCCTAGAAATTAAAAATAAAATTTAGAATTAGTAATTGGCTTAAAAGAGTTAAGGACATTTTTTAGG